GTCTCGAACCCGCGGGCTCAGGCAATTCACTCACCTCAGCCTCCCAAAGCGCAGGATTACAGGCTGAGCCACCGAGCCCGGCTCATAAAATATTTTTTTATTGTTTGTAGTAATGAATGCATGAGGCTTATAGACTGAAATACTTTTCTTTCAATTAGCTGATAATACCCAGTATGGACAGGAATGAGTCTGTTTTCCTGTCCATAACTGTACCTATACCATATAAACTAGAGTTATCAAGTTAAATTTGAACAACCTCTCTAATCTAAATTGGGTAATTCCAAGATAAATATCACTCTGGAGATTGCATTTTCTCATCTGGTTTTCATGCTGACCGTGCAAACTAGAAAATATCCAATTACCTGTTACCTACTTTGTATAACAGTTATGTATGGGCTTAATACATACTCTAATTCTTCAAATGAAAGAATGTTAGTATATTTATATATATCTTACTATATTTAAAAAAATGATTTGGGTGTTTGTATCTGTATGGATGTTTTATGGATCATCACATGGAGTCAGGCAGAGTTGGCATCAGTTTTGTTCATCAAAGCTGCTTGTAGAAAGTGGCACAGTTTGAGTTGGGCTTCTAGGGTGAGCCAGCTATTAAAAAAAAAAAGTTCCAGTTATGATATGTATTATGTTCCTGTGGCCAACACAATTCTCCTTCTTCTTCAAAATGATCCTAATTTTTAATTTTAATTTTAATATTTTTTGAGTTGGAGTCTCACTCTGTCACCTAAGCTGTAGTACAGTGGCATGTTCACTGCAGCCTTGACCTACTGAGCTCATGCAATCCTTCCACCTTAGCCCTCTGAGTAGCTGGAGTCACAGGTGTGCACCACCATGCCCGGCTAATGTTTTGATTTTATTGTAGAGACGAAGTCTCGCCAAGTTGCCCAGGCTGGTCCCAAACTCCTGGATTCAGGTAATCTTCTTGCCTCTGCCTCCCAAAGTCCCGGGATTACAGGCATGAGTCACTGCACCCAGTCAAATTTTTTTATTTATTTAATTTATTTTTTTTAGAGACAGGGTCTTGCTCTGTCACCCACGCTGGAGTGCAGTGGTGCAATCATAGCTCACTGCAGCCTCAAACTCCTAGGTTCAAGCGATCCTCCCACCTCAGCCTCCAGAGTAGCTGGGACACAGGCATCCACCATCATGCCTAGCTGATTTTAAATTTTTTGTAGAGACAGGATCTTGCTATACTGCTCAGGCTGATCTCAAGCTCCTGACCTCAAGTGATCCTCCTGTCTCAGTCTCTCAAAGCACGGGAATTATAAACATGAACCACCACCACCTGGCCAGCATTGCATTCAGATTATAAAAACCAAACTGGCTGTGGTGGCACACACTTGTAGTTCCAACTATTCAGGAGGCCAAGGTGGGAGGATCATTTGAGCCCAGGGGTTCGAGGCTGACGTGAGTTATGATCATATCACTGCATTCCCGCCTGAGTGACAGAATGAGATCCTGTCTCTAAAAACAAAAACAAACAACCAAAAAGAACCCACTTTCTCCAGTTTCCCTGAGGTAATCAGAAGTTCCTGGATTGGGCGCCTTTAAAGAGATGAGGGGTACCTTAGCTAACATAGGCCTTTGTCTTTCTCCTTCTCTTGCCTAGAATGTGGACATGAGGCTTCAGGAAGTGTAGCCACTTTAGAACATGAGGATAAAACCATACATTAAGGATGGAAAAACAGTGATGACATGGTGAAGCTGCTATATTATAGTTGTGGACTTCCTACTTCCCAAAGAATTTTTTTATTTTTGAGTTGGAGTCTCACTCTGTCAACCAGGCTGGAGTGCAGTAGCATGCTCATGGCCACTGCAGCCCCGACTTACTGGGTTTGACAATCCTTCCACTTCAACCTTTCATGTATCTGGAACTATAGGCATGTGCCACCACGTCCAGCTAATTTTTTGATTTATTGTAGAGACGAGGTCTTGTCGTGTTGCTCAGGATGGTCTTGAACCCGTGGGCTCAGGCAATTCTCTTGCCTCTGCCTCCTAAAGTACTGGAATTATAGGCATAAGACACCATGCCTGGCTTGTTTTTTTTTTGAGTTGGGATCTCACTCTGTCATCCAGGCTGGAGAACAGTGGCATGATCATGACAATCATGGCTCACAGCAGCCTCAACCTCCTGGGTTCAGGCAATCCTTTCACAACAGCATCCAAGTAACTGGGACTACAGATGCGCACCACCATACCCAGCTAATTTTTTGATTTTTTTGTAGAGACAAGGTTTCACTATGTTGCCCAGACTGGTCTTGAACTCCTGGGCTCAAGCAATCTGCCAACCTCAGCTTCCCAAAGTGCTGGGATTATAGGCACGAGCCACCACACTCAGCCCCAAATAAATATTTAAGTAAGAAAAATAAGTCTCTATTTGAGTAAGTCACTATAGTCAGATTTCTGCTACCTGTAGCCATATGCAAAACCTGATACAGTTGCCTCAGATTTTAAGGAAAAAGGAAGCTTAGGGGCTGGGTGGGAAAAGTCAGTCTATACCTAACAATTTTTTTTTTTTTTAGTTGTAGTCTCACTCTGTCACCCAGGCTGGAGTGCCCATGGCTACCACAGCCTCGACCTGGTGGGCTCAGGTGATCCTTCCACCTCAGCCTTCCAAGTAGCTGTAACTACAGGCATGCGCCACTATGCCCAGCTAATTTTTTGATTTATTGTAGAGACAAGGTCTCACCAAGTTGCCTAGGCTGGTCTCGAACCCCCAGACTCAGGCAATCCTCTCCCCTCGGGTTCCCAAAGGGCTGGGATTATAGGCTTGAGCCACCATGTCCAGCCCCCTAACAACAATTTTTACTAGACTAAGTAGGTTTTGAGAGCACAACATCTGGCATAGGTCTTATCTGTGAATTTTGTTGTTATTGTTCAATATGTGGGCTTACTATTTATTCTAAGTTCTGTTTCCATAGTTCCTAACTCACTATACCAGTTATAGGGTGGGGCAGTGGCAACAAGGATCCTAGAACTAAGCTGAGAAAGGAAGGGACTAAATCCTTCAGTGAAGCCTCTTCCCTTTGCTCCTGCCCTTCACAACTTTTGGTATCAGCAAGGAACGTCATTGCGTATGCTCTAAGTGGAGGAACATGGACCTGACCACACTTCAAGAGAAGTTGCACGGTGCCCAGGAGGACCAAGCTGGCAAGAGAGAAATTATGCTGTCCTACAAAAGACACTGATTCTTAAACTGAGAACAAAGGGAAGGCAATGTTGGGGAGGGTGTCAGCAGTAGGGTCTGTGGTGTGGCTGCCAGAAGGAGAAGGAAATATGAGGTTCACAGCAGTTCTGTGTCCCAGTATTCCATCAGGGGTTGCAGATGGATGGCTGCTCCTCACAGATCTGATGATAGAGGCAATCAAGGAGAAGACGAAGACAAACAGGGTTTGGAAGAGACCAGGACCAGATGATTTAGTGGATTTTGGTGTGTGGGTCATACATGCAAGTGACAAGAAAGCTGCCAAGATCTGTTCCTATCAACCCTGCATGGTCCTCCTAGCTATATCTTTATCCCGGTCTTTCCCCACTGTGAGGCTCCCTCTCTAAGTTGCAACATTGCCAGTCACTTTTCAGTTCCTTGGATAGGCCATGATCCCTCCCACCACGGGATCCTTATATATGCTTTTCTTTTTGCCTGGAACTCTCTTCTCCCTGACATCCGTGGTAGGCCCACAGCCCACAGCCCACACCCAATGCTCCACATTTACTTTTCCCAGTTAATGCCCATTCATCCTTTAAATCTCACCTCAAGAACCATCACTTCCAGAGGGAATCCTTTCTAGATCACCCAGCTTAGACCAAGTTCCTCTATGGGCTTCCACAGAACCCGTTCCCTTCCTTCACAGCACGTATTGCAGTATGATATCATTATGAAACTATTTTCTCCATTAAACTGAAAGTTTCAAGACAGTATATCTGTGTTTGCCTTTGCTTAGCACTTTAACCTCTGTACTTCATGACACTGTCTGGCATTTAGGAAGTGCTTAATAAACACTATTTAAAGGAATTAATAAAATCAGATATTCATTGATGATAATTCTGGCTATACCACATAGAATTTTATGAAGTCTATATACAAAAGTGCTTTGCAAAGTATAAGGTACTATTTAAAAATTATAGACTAAGCTGGGCTCGGTGGTTCAGCCTGTAATTCCGTGCCTTGGGAGGCTGAGGTGAGTGGATTGCCTGAGCCCACAGGTTTGAGACCCACCGGGGCAACTTGGTGAGACCTCATCTCTACAATAAATCAAAAAATTAGCTGGGCGTGGTAGCGCACGCCTGTAGTTCCAGCTACTTGGAAGGCTGAGGCGGAAGGATTGCCGGAGCCCAGCAGGTCGAGGCTGTGGTGGCCGGGAGCGGCCACTGCACTCCAGTCTGGGCGACAGAGCGAGACTCCAACTAAATAAATACATAAATAAATAAATAAAAATAAAAATTACAGACTAGATGCGGTGACTCAAGCCTGTAATCCCAGCACTTTGGGAGGCTGAGGCGAGAGGACTGTCTGAGCTCAGGGGTTTGAGACCAGCCTGGGCAACTTGGTGAGACCTTGTCTCTACAATAAATAAAAAATTGACTGGACATGGTAGGGCATGCCTGTAGTTCTGGCTACTTGGAAGAATGAGACGGAAGGATCACCTGAGCTCAGCAGGTTGATGCCACGAGCATGCCACTGCACTTCAGCCTGGGCGACAGAGTGAGACTCCGACTCAAAAAAAATAAAGAAAGCTGCTTTAAATTATGATTCCAGGTTGGGTTTGGTGGCCCAGCCTGTAATCCCAACACTTTGGCAGGTCGAGGTAAGTGGATTGCCTGAGCCCATGGGTTTGTGACCAACCCGGGCAACTTGGTGAGACTTTGTCTCTACAATAAATCACAAATTTGCCAGGTGCAGTAGGATGCCTGTAGTTCTGGCTACTTGGTAGGCTGAGGCAGAAGGATTGCCAGAGCCCAGCAGCTCAACGCTGAGTTGGCCTTGAGTGTGCCACTGCACTCCAGGCTGGGTGATGGAATGAGACTCCAACAACAACAACAAAAATTATGATTCCAAATAAATTATTTTCAAGAAAAGAAACCAATATTTTTTTTCCCCTAAAGCCTTACCTGAAACTTCCTCCTCAAGGCTCGGGTCATTATTGGGGTCAGACCTGTTCCTGTTTCCATATTTTCTTTATTGGTAAGAGGGGTTCCACCTGGACTCCTACAAAGGTATTGAAAATATCAGTAGCTGTGTGTTATGCCAACTTTCAAAATGGATTTAGAAAGTATAAAGACAAGAGACTGCATTACCTCTCTACATCAACTTTTCTAAGCAGTTTCCGCAGATCTATCTGGCTTTTACTGGGAGTACTAATAAAATAAAGATATAACAATTAGAACTTGTCAGATTTCATTATTTTTTTCCAAAACAAAGCAGTTATTTCTATAGGCAACACCCTAGAAAGCATTCTATTTGTTACATTAAGAAATAGCGCTGGGCTTGGTGACTCAGCCTGTAATCCCGCGCCTTTGGGAAGCTGAAGTGAGTGGAATGCCTGAGCCCGCGGGTTCAAGACCCGCCTGGGCAGCGAGACCTCATCTCTACAATAAATCAAAAAATCAGCTGGGCGTGGTAGCGCATGCCTGTAATTCCGGCTACTTGGAAGGCTGAGGCAGAAGGATCGCCGGAACCCAGCAGGTCGAGGCTGCGGTGGCCGGGAGCGGCCACTGCACTCCAGTCTGGGCGACAGAGTAAGACTCCAACTCAAAAAAAAAAAAAAAAAGAAAAAAAGAAATAGCTAGGGCTGGGTTTGGTGGCTCAGCCTGTAATCCCAGCACTTTGGGAGGCCGAAGCAAGAGGACTGCCCGAGCCCGCGGGTTCAAGATCCACCCAGGCAATTTGGCGAGATCTCATTTCAACAATAAATCAAAAACTAGCCGGGCGTGGTAGCATGCACCTGTAGTTCTGGCTACTTGGAAGACTGAGGCGGAAGGATCGCCAGAGCCCAGCAGGTCAATGCTGGTGTCGCCATGAGCGTGCGTGCCACCGCACTCCAGCCTGGGCGACAGAGTGAGATTCCAACTCAAAAAAAAAAAAAAGCGCCTGAGCCCGCGGGTTCGAGACCTGCCTGGACAACTTGGCAAGACCTCATCTCTACAATAAATCAAAAACCAGCTATGCATGGTAGCGCATGCCTGTAGTTCCAGCTACTTGGAAGGCTGAGGCAGAAGGATCGCTGGAGCCCAGCAGGTCGAGGCTGGGCAACAGAGTGAGACTCCACTCGCAGAGTGAGACTCCAACTCAAAAAAAAAAAAAAAAAGAAGCCGGGCTTGGTGGCTCAGCCTGTAATCCCGCGCCTTTGGGAGGCTGAGGTGAGTGGACTGCCTGAGCCCGCGGGTTCGAGACCCGCCTGGGCAGCAAGACCTCATCTCTACAATTAATCAAAAAATCAGCCGGGTATGGTAGCGCGCGCCTGTAGTTCTAGCTACTTGGAAGGCTGAGGCGGAAGGATCGCCGGAGCCCAGCAGGTCGAGGCTGCGGTGGCCGGGAGCAGTCACTGCACTCCAGTCTGGGTAACTGAGTGAGACTCCAACACAAAAAAAAAAAAAGAAAAAGAAAAAGAAATAGCAAAAGCAGGGCACAGAGAATCATGCCTGCAATTCCAGCATTTTGGGAGGCCAAGGTGGGAAGACTGCTTGAGACCAGGAGTTCAAGACCAACCTAGGCAACATAGTAAGACCTCCCCTCTTCAAAAATTTTTAAATGAGCCAGATGTTGCAGGGGGGTGCCTGTAATCCCAGCTACTCAGGAGACTGAGGCAGAAGGATTGCCTGAACCTACAAGGTGGAGGCTGTGAAGAGCCAGGATCATACCACTGAACTTAAGCTGGGTTGACAGAGTGAAACCCCAACATACACACATACACAGACACACACACACACACACACACACACACACACACACACACACACACACACAAAAGAAAAGAAAAGAAAAGAAAAAAACAGTAGATGCTGATGGGAGCATAAGGTGATATGACTATTATAATAAGTACTACTTTTTGACCCAGTAGTTACAGGTATAAAAATCCATCCTAGGGGCCAGATGTGGTGGCTAACACCTATTATCCCAGCACTAAGGAAGGCTGAGGTTGGCAGATTGCTTAAGACTGGACTGGGCAAGATAGTGAAATCTGGCCTCTAAAAAATTAAAAAATAAAAATATTAGCCGGGCATGGTAGCACATGCCTATAGTCTCAGCTACTCTGGATGCTGAAGTGGAAGGAACACCTGATTCCAGGAGGCTGAGGCTGCCATTAGCTGTGATCATCATGATCATGCCATTGCACTCAAGCCTGGGCTACAAAATGAGACACCCGACTGAAAAAAATAAATAAAAAAAAGAATTCAGCCGGGCTCGGTGGCTCAGCCTGTAATCCCGCGCCTTTGGGAGGCTGAGGTGAGTGGATTGCCTGAGCCTGCGGGTTCAAAACCCGCCTGGGCAGCGAGACCTCATCTCTACAATAAATCAAAAAATCAGCCGGGCGTGGTAGTGCATGCCTGTAATTCCAGCTACTCAGAAGGCTGAGGCGGAAGGATCGCCAGAGCCCAGAAGGTCGAGGCTGCGGTGGCCGGGAGCAGCCACTGCACTCCAGTCTGGGCAACAGAGTGAGACTCCAACTCAAAAAAAAAGAATTCATCCTAGGGAAAAACTCAAGCTATGCACACAGACAATAGACAAGGATGTTCACTGAAGAGTTATATAAATTAAAAATGATAAACAGGCCAGGCTCGGTGGCTCAGCCTATACTCCCAGTGCTTTGGGAGGCCGAGGTGAGTGGATTGCCTGAGCCCACAGGTTCGAGACCCGCCTGGGCAACTTGGTGAGACCTTATCTCTATAATAAATCAAAAATTAGCCGGGCGTGGTAGTGCGTGCCTGTAGTTCCGGCTACTCGGAAGGCTGAGGCGGAAGGATCGCCGGAGCTCAGCAGGTCGAGGCTGCGGTGGCTGGGAGCGTGCCACCGCACTCCAGTCTAGGCAATAGAGTGAGACTCCAACTCAAAAAAAAAAAAAAGATAAACAACTTAAAACATGAATTTTAAAAAGTCTCAAAATAGGATTTTATTTAAGAAATTTACATACGATGAATGGCATATATTTAAAAAGCAAAGATGATACCTTAAGCTCATTTTTGTTAAGATGCGGAGCAAGGCTGGGTACAGTGGCTCACGCTGGCAATCCCAGCACTTTGGGAGGCCGAAGCAAGAGGATTGGTTGAGCCAAGGAATTCAAGACCAGCCTGGACAACATGGCTATACCTCATCTCTGTTAAAAAAAAAATTTTTTTTTGAGTAGGAATCTCACTCAGTTGCCCAGGCTGGAGTGCAGTGGTACACTCACAGTCACCCCAGTGTCGACCTGCTGGGCTCTGGCGATCCTTCCACCTCAGCCTTCCAAGTAGCCAGAACTACAGGCTCGCACTACCACGCCCCACTAATTTTTGATTTATTGTAGAGACAAGGTCTCGCCAAATTGCCAGGGTTGGTCTTGAACTTGCAGGATTAGGCAATCCATTTGCCTCAGCCTTCAAAAGTGCTGGGATTACAGGCTGAGCCATCGAGCCTGGCCTATAAAAAATTTTTAAATGATGTTAAGCCCCATACAAATACTGAATCTAGAAATCCAGGGATGTTTAAAGTCAGTGTACTTAAAGAAAATACAGGTGGCTAGGCACAGTGGCTCAAGTCAGTAATCCCAGCACTTTGGGAGGCCAAGGTGAGAGGATTGCCTGAGCCCATGGGTTTGAGACTAGCCTGGGCAACTTAGCAAGACCTCATCTCTATAATAAATGAAAAAATTAGCTGGGTGTGGTGGCGTGAACCTTTAGGTCCAGCTACTTGGAAGGCTGAGATGGAAGGATCACCTGAGCCCAACAGATGGAGGCTGAGGTGGTCATGAGCATGCCACTGCATTCCAGCCTGGGCCACAGAGTAAGACTCCAACTCAAAAAAAAAAAAAATTAAAAAAACGAGCCAGGCATGGTGACATGTACCTGTGGTCCTAGTTACTACAGTGGCTGAGACAGAAGGATGGCCTGAGCCCAGGAAGTCAAGGCCTCAGTGTATGCCATGATCATGACACTGCACTCCAGCCTGAGTGACAGTGATACCTTGACTGAAAAAAGATTTTTAAAAAATTGTTTAAAAGATGAGAAACAATTGATAAATGGGGAAAACTATAACTATATCTACAATATGCATACACACACACATAAATACACACCATATTTCTTTGTTCCTAAGACATACCAGTTTTCATATTTTTTTATTTCTGAAACCAGTGTTTTAAAATGTTTTGATAGTATTTCCTTTCCTCCCAAAATCTGTTATTAAATCAATAGTGTATATTATAGTAAACATTTCTCCTGAAATGGAGTAACAGAGTATAAGCCAAGAACAACAAGAAATAAGCAAAAAAATCATTTAAAAGTAATAATTAATAGAGCATAGTGGTATGCAGTTCCTTACATTAAGACATTTGTAACTCGAGTTGATAATGCTTTGGAGTTAGTTTTCAAGGTAACACGCTGCAGGTCAGAAACAGTAACTAGTGGATTCCGCGCCTTCGGTGATGGTACAAGCTTTAATTACAAAGTGAGACATTATTAAAAACACATTTTAAAACATCACTCAAATGTAAACATCCTGCCAAAATAGCAAATATCTGAGTACTAAGTATGTGTGAGACATATCTACTATTCCACCCAATTATTATTCCAAAGCTTCAAAGTATGTCTCTACCTCTTCAGACTAATGGTTGGGAGATAAAACGGCCTAATTAAATCATTTTGGGTTCTACACATTTTGTTTTTTTGTTGTTTTATTTTATTTTTTTGAGTTAGAGTCTCACTCTGTTACACAGGCTGGAGAGCAGTGGCACACTCACAGCCACCACAGCCTCGACCTGCTGGACTCAGGTGATCCTTCCACTTCAGCCTTCCAGGTAGCTAGAACTACAGGTGTGCACCACCATGCCCAGCTTATTTTTAAAAATTTATTGTAGAGAGGAGGTCTTGCCAAGTTGCCCAATCTGATCTTGAATCCCCGGACTCAAACAATCCTCTTGCCTCCGCCTCCCAATACACATTTTGTTAAGGAGATCCAAAAATGACTAAAATAAAACATCAAATACTTAACTCAGAATAACTTCTGTGCATAAGGTTTATACTTTATTTTCCATAAAGGGACAACCAGGTTAAAAGCAGAAAGGCCATGTATATGGCCAATGACATCTTACCTTTCTCTTTTCACCAAAACCTTGTGTCTTCTTTAATTTCACAGTCAGTAGATCTTTAACTGTTATCTGCATGGGTCCATCTTTTTTTAATGGGCCAGCCTTAAGATACATGGAGAGATTTGAATTCAAATAGGAACAAAGGCAACTGATAAAAAGCAAATCCAAATATAGTTTTTAAAGACTTAGAGGTAAGAGTTAACTCATATTTACCCTGGGAGCCTGTCAGATTATTTCTGCTCAACCGAGAATGATCCTATTTTCAATCCCCATAGATTCAGAACCCACTGAGTTCCCACAGAACAAGAATGTATAGTCAGAAAGGTATACATTAGAGCAAATATAAAATAGACTCCAGATTTAACTCAGTTATTATTTTTTTCAGAGACAGAGTCTGGCTCTGTTGCCCAGGCTGGAGTACAGTGGTGCTGGAGTACAATCCTGAGAATCTAGAACTATAGGCACATACCACCCACCCAACAAAATCTTGCTATGTTGCCCAGGTTGGTCTCGAACTCCTGGTCTCAAGGGCTGTTCCCACTGCAGCCTCCCAAAGCACTGGGATTACAGGTGTGAACCACTCCATCTGGCCTAACTCGGTGATTTTAAACCAAATGTACCTGTAGTGAAAGTTCAGCAGATTTTAAAACAGGGTTATGTCTATCTTAGTGATTCACAAATATTCTTGCCCCTTGGAAAGATAAGTAACTGTGATAGAGACTGATTCTCCAACTTAATAACAATAAACTTTAGAATCTGCCAACTCTTTTTGTTCTGAATTCACTCATAAAGTAATCTCCTGTTCTTCATTTGGTTTCCTAGGGCGGTTTTCCTTTTGGTAAAAAGATAAACTGAGAGGCTAATAAGAATCTTGCACTCCACTCTACAGGGTTTCATAAATGTCACTTTCATTTCTTTTTCTTTTTTTTAAGAGTTGGAGTCTCACTCTGTCACCCAGACTGGAGTGCAGTGGCCGCTTCCGGCAATCCTTCCGCCTCGGCCTTCCGAGTAGCTGGAATTACAGGTACGTGCTACCACGCCCGGCTAATTTTTTGATTTATTGTAGAGATGAGGTCTCGCCTGCCCAGGCGGGTCTCAAACCCACGGGCTCAGGCAATCCACTCACCTCAGCCTCCCAAAGGCGCGGGATTACAGGCTGAGCCACCGAACCCTGCTCACTTTCATTTCTAAATCCAGCTTTTGTAAATTCCCTGGGCACTGAGTTTTTAAAAACACAATAATTGCCAGACATGGTGGCTCAGCCTGTAATCCCAGCACTTCGGGAAGCTGAGGCAAAAGGATTGCCTGAATCCAGGGGTTCAAGATCAGCCTGGGCAATTTGGCAAGACCTTGTCTTTACAATAAGTAAAAAAATTAGTGGGGCGTGGTGGCACACACCTGTGGTTCCAGCTACTTGGAAGGCCGGGAGCAGCCACTGCACTCCAGTCTGGGTGACCGAGTGAGACTCCAACTCAAAAATAAATAAATAAATAAATAAATAAAACAAAGGCTGGACATGGTGGCTCACACCTATAATCCCAGCACTTTGGGAGGCCAAGGTGAGAGGATTGCCTGGGCCCATGGGTTTGCGACCAGCCTGGGCAATTTAGCGAGATCTCATTTCTACAATTAAAAAAAAAAAAATTAGCCGGTCTCGGTGGCTCAGCCTGTAACCCCGTGCCTTTGGGAGGCTGAGGTGAGTGGATTGCCCGAGCCCATGGGTTCGAGACCCACCTGGGCAGCGAGACCTCATCTCTATAATAAAATCAAAAAATTAGCCGGGCGTGGTAGCGCGTGCCTGTAGTTCCAGCTACTTGGAAGGCTGAGGCGGAAGGATCGCTGGAGCCCAGCAGGTCGAGGTTGCGGAGGCCGGGAGCAGTCACTGCACTCCAGTCTGGGTGACAGAGTGAGACTCCAACTCAAAAAAAAAAAAAAAAAATTAGCCGGGTATGGTGGCATGTGCCTGTAGTTCCAGCGAGGGAAGGCTGAGGTGGAAGGATTGCCTGAGCCCAGCAGGTTGAGGCTGCGGTGGCCGGGAGCATGCCACTATGCTCCAGCCTGGGTGACAGAGTGAGACTCCCACTCCAAAAAACAAAAATAAAACAACCCCCCCACAATAATTAACATAATTAAAATCAAACAAAACATAGCCTTCTAGTCCAAGCCCTTTTCCCAGTCTTAAAAGCCCACTTGGCTTTACTCCTATATTGCATACTGACCCAAACCCACCATTATTAGATTGGTTCCTACCTGAAGTGCTTTAGTGAAACCGGGTTTTCTGAGCAGCAAAGGTGCTAGCGGGGGTGGAGGAGGAGGGAGAGGAGGAGGAGGAGGAGGAGGAGGTGGAGGTAGAGATGGGGGTGGGGGTGGAGGCAGGGGGAGTTGGCTAGCTGGATGTGGCAGTGTGGGAGAAAGAGCAGCTCCGGATTCTCCAGGTGTGAGAGCACAGGCAGGCACAGTTGTGAGTTTACTACTCATGTGACACCTCTGACCACAGCTTGGGCAAGAAGAACTTTCTGAGATCGTCTGGAGGAAGACAGTGCATTTGGCAAACAAGTTAATTTGATGCATGAGGCAGAGAGTCAACCAAAATAATAGCCACTATATACTGAATGCTTTCTCAGTGTACTATGCTCTTCATAATATTTACTCATCTAATTAGCACAAATTTCTTCATTTCATTCAGTTTTTTTTTTTTTTTTTGAGTAGGAGTCTCACTCTGTTGCCCAGACTGGAGTGCAGTGGCATGCTCATAGCCACCACAGCCTTGACCTGCTGGGCTCAGGGGAGCCTTCCGCCTCAGCCTTCCAAGTAGCTGGAACCCCAGGTGCACATCACAAAGCCCAGCTAATTTTTTTAGTTATTGTAGAACTGAGGTCTCGCTATGCTGTCCAAGCTGGTCTCCAATCCCTGGGCTCAAGCAATTCTCTCGCCTCCGCCTCCCAAAGTGCTGAGATTACAGGTGTGTGTCACCACATCTGGTTACTTTTTAAAAAATTTATTTATTGCCGGGCTTGGTGGCTCAGCCTGTAATCCTGTGCCTTGGGAGGCTGAGGTGAGTAAATTGCCTGAGCCCATGGGCTCGAGACCCGCCTGGGCAGCGAGACTTCATCTCTACAATAAATCAAAAAATCACCCGGGAGTGGTAGCGCATGCCTGTAATTCCAGTTACTTGGAAGGCTGAGGCAGAAGGATCGCCGGAGCCCAGCAGGTCGAGGCTGCAGTGGCCGGGAGCGGCCACTGCACTCCAGTCTGGGTGACAGAGTGAGACTCCAACTCAAAAAAAAAAAAATATTTTTTGTAGAGACTAGGTCTGGCTATGTTGCCCAGACTGGTCTCAAACCCATGAATTGGGCAATCCTCTTGCCTCTGCCTCCCAAAGTGCTAGGATTACAGGCGTGAGATAACACACCCAATTTTTTTTTTCCTTAGAGTTAGGGTCTCCCTATGTTGCTCAGGCTGGTCTTGAACTCACAGGCTCAAGCAATCCTCCCACCTAAGCCTCCAGAGTAGTTGAGACTATAGGTACATGCCATTGTACCTGGCTTATATTCCTTTTGAGTGGGAAACTGTGTTCATATTATTTCCCCATTTTGCTACTGAGTTGTTAGTTGTTGGGGTATTGATTTCTAGGAGTTCTTTATATGGGCAAGAAATGAATCCTTTTCCTGATAGTTGAGAAAATATTTTTCCTGATTGTTTTTTTTTTTTTAGTTGGAGTCTCACTCTGTCGCCTAGGCTGGAGTGCGCACACTTACAGCCACCACAGCCTCCACCTCTTGGGCTCAGGTGATCTTGCTGCCTCAGCCTATAGGCACACACCACCACAACATCCGTCTAATTTTTTGATTTATTGTAGAGATAACGTCTCACCAAGTTGCCCAGCCTGGTCTCAAACCAGGGACTCAGGCAGTTCTCTCACCTTAGCCTCCCAAAGTGCTGGGATTACAGGTGTAAGCCACTGCACTCAGCCTCCTGATTTTTCTTTTTCTTTTTCTTTTTTTGAGTTGGAGTCTAACTCAGTTGCCCAGACTGGAGTGCAGTGGCTGTTCCCAGCCACTGTAGCCTCGACCTGCTGGGCTCCGGCGATCCTTCCGCCTCAGCCTTCCAAGTAGCTGGAACTACAGGCGCGTGCTGCCACGCCGGGCTAATTTTTGAATTTATTGTAGAGATGAGGTCTCGTCAAGTTGCCCAGGCGGGTCTCAAACCTGTGGGCTCAGGCAATTTACTCACCTCAGCCTCCCAAAGCGCGGGATTACAGGCTGAGCCA